AATCCAGAAAAGGTTTGATGATCAGAGATCAACACTCTGTCGGTGCCACAGAGGAAAGCTTGGTACAAATACTTCCGTAGCACTAAGGCACAAACCACCCTTGGGGACCACTCCGCTTCATCCTCGAAAACGAGTGGATCTTCCATCGCTCTCAATAGCCATGTATTAGATAGTATCTTCTTAAAGCTTTTTATCGCTCCCTTCAATTCTTCAAATCCTTGTGATAAATAATAGCTTTCTGTTTTGTAATCACCCAACCCAAAATAAATATTAGGAAATTCATGCAATGAAGCCAGTTTATTCGTCAGGAAATGAATTATATCAGGCTTGTAACGTAAATTCTTCGCATCAGTAAAAGGTGGCTTTATAATAAGAGGTCCTCCAAAGACATGGTGTTGGCCACATGTGTACTTGTAAAGATTTTCTATTGGCGTCAGAACTCGCCCATTAAAGTATCGCTGTACAAATTCTTCATTATTTGATTGTGCTCTTGGATATTCATATACATAAGACAAAAATCTATCAAGAATATTCGATACTCTGATAGCGGCATCAAGCGGTGCAAAAAAGTTGCACTTGAATTCGTCACTACTAATTTCTCGAAATTCAGCCTTTACCAACACATTAGTGATATAATAAAGAGCTGGTAAATCGGGAATACTCCCAATTGAAACCGATGCTGAATACTTATCAATTATATGTTTTGGAGTAGGCAATATTTTGGACTGGTCTAAATCCCTGATTTTCAAAAGTGGGGTGTCTAAAAAGACCCTTGTGTTTTGTTCGCCATCAGACACAAGTTCAACAAATAAGGATGGAAATATCTGAATCAATTGGTTACCAGGGTCATCATAGAAGATATCATTGCTGTTTTTCCCTGAAAAGTACATCGATGCCATCATTAATAGTATTGTAGATAATTATCTGCTTCAATGTGATTCCGTCTCGTTTTAGAAACTGCACTGTCAGATTGTCTCGTTTGCACTTATTTAACTAGTGAAGCATATTCAAAACATAAGTAAGTAAGTAAGATAATTCCTATATCGAGTTAATGGGCGTTATTCTATCATGCTTATCAAGGCTTATATAATGTAATTTATCTCCATCATAAGGATAAACACTATAAAAACAACTACTATAATTAATCACGATAACATATACAAAGTGTATCCTAGTTTGTCAATGGAACACCCATTCACAGTGTTTGTCAAATTATACTACCAATCTAAACCATTATATATTTAGTTCTGAATTCCCCTTTCTATTTGCTCGATATTTCTTAAGGAATACCATTTTTCAATCCTGGACAATTGCAGCATTCCAAATAGTAAGTCCCGAATGCACTATATAAATACATATATTAACATATGAATATAATATGCCTCTTCTCCTACGAATTGATTAGTCGATGTTTCTTTGCAATAGTTGGTATCAACTTTGTTCTCCAGACTACAATCCTATATGGGTCAAAATATGCTGGTTATAATATATAATAAGCATTTTGCAGTAAATACGGTGTTTATGTCAAGTTCTTAACCAAGAAGAGTAATTAAATGGTTTTCAAGATCTCTGTTTGTAGTATATTTTAATATAAAATCCTTCTTTAATTTTATATCTTGCAGTCGTAACAAGTCAACCTTATTCGATAATTGCTAATTACGTATTAAAAAA